CGCTTCTATCGCTTTTGTAGATTCACATCGAGAGAGAGAAAGAACTCGAATCATCCGCGACTGTAACATCCGCAGGTAAACCGATGAATCACTCTAAAGGTTTAGGTGGGAGGCTATACGGCCTGATTCGTGGGTAAAGGATAACCACAGGAAAAACGAATTTTATTCCGAGAGTCGTGTAAATCATCGTTATCCCGGCCAGGCTCTACACCATTGTGCGTCATTCTCTCACTCGTGCTATGGGCATAGGCTTTACTAAAATGAGTCACCATACTAGTCCCAAGTAATCGTCAGCTAACCTAATCTTGCCATTCATTGTTCATCTATTATGTTCAGAGACCGCAGCCCATATTGACATGACTGCCTAAAAGCGGAAGCTTCCGATAATTTTGCTTTCGTTACTCCCGACAAAACTATACCTGAGAAGCCCAGCTGGCTGCTGCCTCTCGGCGCGGCTCACTCATCGTACATAGGGAATAATGTTTCGAAGTGTCGAGTTATACATTCGGAGCGGAGATCTAGATGTTGCTGCAGACATGTCCATGGCTTAAGATTCTAGATATTACTGTTGAAAAGTGATCTTTAGTTTGCGTGTCATTGTTTTATTTCGAGTTTCTCGGTCGGACCGTAATAGCTCACATCCGACAATGCAGGGTAAGCGTAGACGGAGGAAGTAGTGGGACGCGAGGTGCTTGATTCCAAAAAAAAACTCAATCAATTCACAACCCCCTAGATCCTGTCGGGAGCAATTGCTTCAGTGCGACCTCACTCACACCTCTCATCACCATGCCACCACCGGTGACTTTTTGAGAGGCAGCACTGCAGCAATTCTTCCAATCGGAATCTTTACGGATGGGAAAATTTCGATGCGAGTAATAAAATCGAAAACCATTTTCATGAAACTAGGCCGGGTAAGTTTTTCCCCCAGAGCAGCGCGAACTTAGTTACAAATTAAGCTATAAAATGTAGCCGACGCGTAATGAGGACTGAATGCTTTACGTGTCTCCCTGACGTCTCATCCTTTGGTGATGAGAAGAAGGGAATGAGAGAGAGGAGATGGAATAGAAGAGAGACGGACAGGGAGTTTAAGCTCGTAATATTAATAAGCCGCGTTATCATATGGGATTTGTTCCCCATCCCGCTACTTCTCCGAAGCACCTGTCCGGAGATGAAATGTAATAAGTCTGACTACATGATATATACGCATTTTGTCCACCCTTTCGCTCTGGTCTACCAGAAGCAAGGGAACCCTGTTCCGGAGATTAATTGTAATATAGGCCATCCCTAAAAAATTCTATGTTTGCTGTCCCCGACCCCGATGATTTTTTCAAGTGGTAAAGTAAGCAAATACTAACACATCTTTATTTTGCGTGAACAAAACACCCAACTAAGTAATTATTATCTGTCCACTGTTTGCCACATGCTATTGTGTTTCCAGTCTTAAAGGGACTATCGTCACGAATTTTCTATAATCACAAATTTGGAAAAAAAATTGCCATTTCTTACATTAAAAGTAAGAACTAACGTTTCTAAATATATGCCTCAATACTCACTACCTGCATTAAAAATGTTTTTACGTTGGTTAAAATTTTGCAACAAATCCTAGGACATTTTTGGTAATTTTCATGTTCTAACCAACTATTCCCCAGTACTGTTCAAGATTAACTGGCGTCTCTCCTGTTTTTCACGTCGGCAAATTCCGGCATATAAAGAAGAATGATAGTAAGCATGAAAATAAACAGAAATCACTAATTGTATTTTCAATATCATTTTATTTGTACAAATAGCACACAAAATCATAACCCACCTACCTCGCATGTGCAGAACATTTGCGACGCTACACATCCATTTAACAACTCATCACGCCAAATGTAAAAACCACCCCAAGGCTCCCCCCGACCCACCAAATTTTTTGGGTCGGCCGGCTATTTTCGTGGTCGCTCGGAGGACAGCAAACATGATTTTTTTAAGGATGCCGGCAAGCCAGCGTTACAATGACATTTTTTCCCATCGCTGCGCTCAGATAGCAACATTTTCCCGAGATATAATTAAGAAGCTTGCTGCGGCTACATATGAAATTTTGTCCCTCTCGCGCCGCTGTCTGTGCAGAATCACCTTTTCCTTGAGATAGCACCATGATAATAACCACCCCCGCGGCGGCCGCGCCGCGATCAGGATGACACACCAAGCATTCCATCGTCCAGTTTCCTCCTTTCCCTAGCCCGGCGCGTGACGTACGTGCTTGAATCAATGTCACGCCGTTCCGGGAACTTCTGTCTACTAACAACCCACACAACAACAACAACACTGTCTTCAACGACGTCTTCCTGTTCCTGCGCACCGACCGGGCGGCATAATGAAATACCTGTCTCTTGCGTTGTGTGCTGCGTGCGTGGCGTCGGGCGTGTGGCGCGGTGGCGCGTGCAGCGTGTGTGCGTGCGTGCGTTGCGTGTGCGCCACGTGGGCTGTGTGTGCGTGTGCGTGACGTGCGTGCGTTGCGTGCAGTGCGTGCGGTGCGTGCGTGGGCAGGTGCGTGTGTGCGCGTTGGCGCACGTCGTGCGATGTGCGTGCCGTGCGTGTGCCGTGCGTGCGTGGTGGCGTGTGCGTGCGTGCTGTGCGTGCGTGCCGTGGGCGTGTGCCAGTGTTGTGCGCCGTGGCGCAACGTGGGCGTGTCGCGTGTGGCGTGCGTGCCCCCCGTCGCGTGCGTGTCTGCTGTCAATGACCCGAACGAGTCTGATCAGCCGACGGACGCAGAGACGTTAAAAACCATTGCCCGCTCGTTGTAACGTATCATCCGCCCCCCATCTATCCTTCTTCTTCCTCACTCACGACAGCACGACTCGCTCATCCGCAAAGCAGGCCTCCCGCTCACACCATCCAACCCGGACCGCGACGCACCACACCCACCTGCTCCCTAGCCCTCCCCACCCACACACTCTACACCTTCCGCCACCAACCCACCCACCCCACCCCACACCCCACCCCACCACAACCCCCCCCCCCCGCACACCAACCAACGCGCACCACAACACCACGCCACCCTCACACACATCACCGACCCAGCACCAAGCCCGCCCACAACCGCACAGAACACAAATAACCCCACATACACCCACCACCCGCATATCTACTCAACAAAACGAGCAACAAGACGCACACACACACCCAAGCGCGCAGCGCGCACGCCGAGCGACCCCGGAGAGAAGACACCCCTCCCCAATCTTCCTCACTCTCTCTCACCCTGTCCTCCATCCCCTACACACCACTCACGCAATAATACACCCACAACACACTACACAGCACGCACGCCCAACACACCACTCCTCTCCTCCAACCCCCACCCGCCATCCCACCGCAACCGCCACCCCCCCCCTCCGCCCTCCTCGCACTTACACGCACGTCCACACTCGCGCCCCCACCCCCACCCCAACCCCCCGCCCCCCGCCCCAACAGAAGACCACGCACCACCACGACTACCACCCATGCGGCGCCGCGGCACCAGGCATACGTCTACAACCGCAGCGCCCGGGAAAGCCTCTAAAAAAAAAAAACGTCCCCTCATCCCACTCGCGCTGCAATCACCGACTCCGGTCAACGCACAAACACACGACACCCCCACGCCCGCCCCACCACCCATCCACCAGCACGACCAACGCCAACACCACACGCACACCCCACACCCGCCACCTCAGCCACAAAAGCCACACACGCACGACGCCCACCGCGGACCACGCACCATCGCACGCACACGCCCACGCACGCACCACGGCACCGCACGCACAATCGCACACGCCCACCGTGCCGCACCGCCGCACTACACGCACATGCCCACGCACGCCCAACAAGACGACGCACGCCGCACGCAACGCACGCACGCACACTTGCAGCATCGAGACGCCCACGTGCCACAACGCAGCGCACCACGCACCACACGGCACGCGCCATAACGGCCACACTCCACGCACGACGGCGAAGCACGCACGTCACACACCCCAATGAGGTTATTTCATATGCGGCCCGGGGGCGCAGAACAGAAGAACGTCGTTGAAGCCAGAGATAACGCAATAGAACAGCACACACTGACATGATCACGCACACGTAACAGCACCCACCCGCGCGGCTAGGAACCGCAGAAAGCTGACGATGATCGGCATCCGACATAATCGCGAAAGCCACGACACAAAAAGAGACCGCAGGAGTCATACTCATGTTAATCATCAAAGAAAAAGGGGTAGAATTCTGCACAGAGCGAGCAGAAAAGGACAAAATTTCATATGTAGCGCGACGCAAAGCTTCTAAAGCATTGTAGTCTCAGGGAAAATGTGCATTCTGGAAAGCGAAAGCCGATCGGGAAAAAATGTCTTTGTAAGCGCGGCCTGTGCCATCCTTAAAAATCATGTTTGCTGTGCTCCGACGCGACCACGAACATAGCCGCGACCCAAAAATATTTTGGTAACGCCTTTTTTTTTTTTTACATTCCTCATAGTTAAAGTCGATACGGTCACAAATTTCTAGCACCGCATCCAAGTAGCTACATTTCGTGTGCCTATTTGTAACAAAATAAAATGTATGAAATACAATTAGTGTTTTCTGGTTTACTTTAATCACTAGCTTTCAATACACTTTCAAATATATTAATCACTGCCTAATTATGCCGGTGAAAAACAGAGAGACGCCAGTAATCTGAACAGACTGGGGGAATAGTGTTGAGATCAACAGAAATTAAACCAAATCGTCTAGATTTTTGGCACATTTAACCACGAAAAAACATTTTTATCAGGTGAGAGTTTTGAGGATATATTGTAGAACCGTTAGTTTCTTACTTTTAAGTGAGCAAAGAATGGCAATTTTTTTAAAATATATATAATTAACAATATAAACTATAATATATATAAAACACAAAAGCATGTGGGCAAACATCAGGACAGACTTAAAATACAATTAACAAAACAGAAAAGAACCAATACTACCATACCCAACTAAACAAAATCCATCAGCGCTCCGAGCCAGGAAGCAACATAGAATTGTTTAAGACATGAGGACTTATATCATTATCATCCAGGCAGGCTCTCTGCGGAACCAGGCTGAAGGACATAAATGCTATATATATATAAACAAGTCAGCTTATTAATTTCATCTCCCGGGAACAGGCTGCTTCGAGAAGCGATGGGAAAAATCCATAGTAACCGCGGCTTATTAAATATTACATGCTCAATCTCGGAACGGGTGCGCGGAAAACTTCCGATTTAGAGCAAATTCTTTTCGATTTATTACTCCGATTCGAAATTCAACCATCCGTAAATGAGGAGAAATATGCGCAGTGCTGCTCACAAGTCACCCGGGTGGGAGGTGAAGGGGTGGGCACTTGACATCTTCCGACAGGGATCTAGGGTTTTTAAAAAGTTTTTTTTATCAACAACTCCTACTTACCTGATTGTCGACGTATTCCGTCCACGAAACTGAAAACAATGAAGCCACGATCACGTAGTAATTTAATTTATGTTTGCGCACATTACGTCGGCAAACGAGGTGGCGGCACAGTGACACAATGGTAGAGCGGTGATACGAGTTTTTATATTCGAAAAAACTTCCTGTTTTACTATAGCTCTCCACCTACACCTTCTAGAGTATTTGTTACAGCAACTGGACATCGTTTTTAATTTTATGATCTACAACGTGAAAACAAAAAAGATATTCCTCTATGTAGCAACTTAGCCCACACGATAGATTAAACCACCAACTAGAGGGTACAACATTGATCAACAACATTATATCTCCACACAACACGCACCGCCGCACGCACGCACGCACGCACCCGCCCCACAACACACATTATTGACACACATATATATACTATATATTATATAACCAACTACCCAATAATCATATATAATATATAAATCATATAATATATATATACATAATATTATATATATATTGTGTGCATATATACATAACATACACACAATAATTACACATCTATCATGCTATTTTTGTAGGGCCCGTTGCCAGAAACAAAATTAGTCTTAACGTACATTAGTCTTAACACTAACATGTTCTCATAGACCGTCGATAGCGCTTTGTTTCCTATAGCGCGTTCACACGTAGGAAAATCCACGATTCGTACGCGTACGAAACAGAGTTTCGTACGTACTCGCGATAAATTTCCCTCATCTGAACGACCACGTATAGCTATACTCAGTTCGAAACGCGTATCACTATCCTGACAAAATGAGTGCGTTTCCTACGTACTTCGTATAGCTGTACGCGTATAGCGGACGTGTGAACGACCGGCTATAGCTATACGCGTATAGCGGACGTGTGAACGACCGACTATAGCTATACGCGCATAACAATAGAAAACAATGCGCTGTCGACGGTCTACGAGAAAATGTTAGTGTTAAGACTAATGTTAAGACTAATTTTGTTTCTGACAACGGGCCCCAGGTTTTCAACTCAAATATAATCCTGAATTTTCAGATATCTCGCACACTCATGTAGCGATGCTGCGCTCGAGCTCATTAATCAGGCACGTTGCCGAGTGAGCGGAGAGCGGGCGACATCTGGTAGCAGGGCCACAGGTGGTACAGGTGTCGAACGACTGACTAGAGTGAATGGTCACTTAGAGAGCGGAGAGCAGGATACGTGACACGCGACATCATAAGATGCGGCCCTTGCAAGACGGGGGTCGGCAAAACGGGAACCTGGAGAACCCAAGAGGTGACAAGATAATGCCAGGATGGCGGGCACGGGAATCGCCGGGGTATAGGGCGAGCGGCACTCAGGCACGGGGAGCTCGACTCTCTCTCTCTCCCTGTGTTCTACCTTGTCACGTTGCATTTGTACGCTACGTCTTGTACTTGTACTATCATGGCTATCAATACAGTCGCTTGCGGTACGTTACTTCGCTAGTTCGTGTTTGCTTCATGTCGTTGCGCATCTTATACCCTGTTCCCTTACCCGCTGCCTACCTCACCTAAGTAACCGAAGTACGAGGTTACACTCACGAAAAAAACACTTAAAACGGATCATTTCTGCGCGCCCAAAAACATTAACGTCGATACCGAGATAGAAGAGAGTGAAGCGCTTACTGGTTCTGAATCAGCTGTATCGTCAGAGCGCTCTTGCCGACACCTCCAGCTGCAACGAGAAAACACAACGCGCGTTACGCACTGGGTTGCGGCGTCGGCACCTTACACAATCGTCACCATGGCACCCGCGCGGCGGCGGTAGGGGGGCAGGGGGAGGGGGCAGGGAAGAGGATGGAGGGGGCACGTTACACAATTGATACCATGGCACCCGCGCGGCGGCGGCAGGGGGGCAGGGGGAGGGGGCAGGGAAGAGGATGGAGGGGGCACGTTACACAATTGATACCATGGCACCCGCGCGGCGGCGGCAGGGGGGCGGGCAGGGGCAGGGAGGAGGATGGAGGGGGCACGTTACACAATCGACACCAAGGCACACGCGGCGGCGGCGGGGGCAAGGGGAGTGGAGAGGGGAGGTCGACTCGTGTAGGACAAACCCATCGGGACACGTCTGCATCTTCGCAGCGTTACCCGGGTTACGAACCACGCTGCGAGCGACTGTCGCGCCGTGCGTGATCGACAAGCTCCGACCGACGACCCGTGACGTTTTTCCGCCGGCGGTAGGGGGCGCTGCCAACGCCCCTCGTCGTCTCGTCGCCGTCTGCGTATCGCAGGGAAACCTCGGCAGCCGGCGGGTAGCGTCAAAGGAAAGGTGTTTCCCCATCCCTTCTCCCGAAAGGAAACGCAACGCGGAAAAAGTAACTTAGCAGCGTCTGGGTAGCGGTACGACGCGCCGGCGTCGTAAGTGAGCATCGGCTTATTGTGACACGGCAGGATTATCGAGCCTCTAAAGCCGAGAGAGTATCTGCAGGTCTTTTTCCGTCACGCGTAAGCTCTCTCTTCGCGCGCGCTGCCGTGCGAAATCGTCAACACCACGCGGCGCGGGTTTGATAGGCCGACGCGACACATGAACGACACTCGACCTAGCATCCGAACAACGAAACAAATGAGCGTCGCTCGGCGACCGCGGCGGAGAGCAAAGAAACGCTCCGTGCGGCGCGCTCGTCTCGTGACCGTTGCTAGGGACTAGCTCAGTAGGCGGTTACGTACTCGATTGGGTGAGCCAATACCTACCATGCAAATCGGACCCTAGCTGCATTAATTGGATGCAGCGCCGGTGTATGCCAGCAGGGCTGCGAGGCAATTAGAGAATTAGAACTGCTTTAGGTATTTTAAAACCGCGCATCCCTCGACGAAACGAAGAGAAACTTCTCTCTCTCCGATCGATGCGATTAACTTCATTAAGCGATGCCGTCGACTGAATAAATAGGTAAACTAACCTCAACTTTGTTTTTGTTTTAATCGTGTTTTCCCATCCCGGAGATTTTTCACAATTTCATACAAAATTTACCATCGCAATTTTATAAACTCGGGCGGCAATGAAATACTTTACACCCGTGTATTATAGCGCAACGATTATTTGACATCCATCGCCACGCGCACTTTCACGACAAAATGGTAAAAATATCCTTCAGTAACCACTAAATTAAGGAATTATTAAGATTCAAACTAGAAAATTACATTTCATTCTTAAGTACTAAGAAAGTTCGTCTGAAGAAACTTCCTATTAGTCAGCGTTTCAAAAAAAAATCGTGGTTAACAATACTTCATTTAAACAGTAGAAACCTCGCAGCTAAAATGTTTCAATTGTTCACAGCTCTTGGCTAGCACACACAGTTGTTTTTAGTGAGTACATGCGGATAAACTTAAAACTGCAGTATCACAGCTAGTAGATACAATGAACCATTCAAACTCCTCATGTATTTTTCTGCCGCAGCTCATCAATTTTAAACCAGAACAATGGGTGCTTCAAAAACATCTGGAAAACGAATACTGAAACAGTTGGGGGTTCATAGAATTGATTTACATTGAACGGTCGATGTTCTATACAGACTGTGTACAGTACTACAGGAAGGACTGAATAGGAAATATAATTATGCAAATTACAATGCGTTGCAGAAAACGAGAAATAGATACTAACAACCTATGGAATAGAAGGGGTAACAAACAAAGGGGAAAGAAGCTAACAGTGAGAAATACTAATTACATGAAATTTGCCGATTTTAATTAAAATCCGTAGTCGTCAAATAAAATCTAGCTGCTTAAGTCGTTGTCGTCATTTTCTAAAGAAATTCCTCAATTCAAAGACTCCACATTAACCCCTCCTGCAAAACAGCCCAAATAGTACTACCACTACTACCAAGACCACTACCAGTACTACCACAACTCCCAGAACCACCACTACATCTACCACTACAAGTATCTACCACTACAACTACTACTACTAGTACTACTACTACTACTACTACTACTACTACTACTACTACTACTACTACTACTACAACTTGTATTCCCAACAACCCAGCCAACAATAGAATGACAATCTCCTTGATATTCTATCAGAATTTAAAATTAATGTTCACGAGTTTGCTGTTAAATACTCTGTTTCACTATCAAACTCCATGAACCAACATTAACTAGCATTTAAGTCACTGCACAACTCTGAACAAAACCATTGGGGTAGAGTATGAACTCAATAACAGATCTATAAACAAAATATAACCTATTACCCTAACATTTAACCCCAACCTTAACCTACTCATGACTGCTGTAGTGTTACAGTCATTAAACTTCAGCCAAAAAAAAACATAGCACAACATGGAGTGTATAAAAACCTTACATAGAGGGAAGGTAAATCCAACAGTGATGCTGCTACACAAAAAACGCAGTTTCAAATTAAATCCTGCCAGACGCACAATAGGTGAAATTATGACAGTAATGTATCAATGCCACATTTTGAAGGTACATACAGAGCTCTACAAAAAACAATGTTTTACATTGTACCCATGCCAGTGCCACACAATAGAGCTCCGAAGTAATGACGTCACGGTGGAATGACAACGAACCCACTGGTTCTAAACAATCATTGGCTCCGTAACATTAACTGCGTGAAAATGGTGTTGCGTTTTGTACCCGATTGTAACCATCATTCTGAGACTGAGAGTCATTATTGCAGTTTTTATAGATTTCCAAAGGATGGAAGTGAAAAGCAATTTCGATGAATTAAGTTGATAAGGTATGCAGATATGTTTTTTTCTAGGCATTTTGATGATGAAATCAATGTTGCAAGATCGACTTGCTACCGATGCTTTACCGCTGTCTGCAGCACACACTCGTGTGCACAACGCCATTTACACGCAGTTAATGTTACAGAGCCATCGATTGTTTAGAACCAGTGGGTTCGTTGTCATGCCACCGTGACGTCACACTTCGGTTCTCTATACCTTGCCATGTATGCATCCACTTGTATAAGTTCAATGCACAACATGAGGCCATGCATGGTACTGTACCTCTCTTAACACTCACCTACCGATACCTCTACCCCCAAACTTCTTCCAATGCAAAATATTTTTGTGTGTGAATAAGAGCATCTTTAAATTATAATTTAGACACAAGATACAGTTTGAAAAACTGAAATGAGGAAGTGGTCTATTTTTAAACATTTTCTACTGTCAAAAGTTACTACTACTATCACAGCCTGCCAAAACTGGACCAAGCCAGATTCCTGGAGTGGGTTTCTACCGATGTGGATTTAAACCCTTGAGTCCAGTATAAAATAAAGAAACCGAAAACAACAACAACAACAGCCACCGTCAATACCACCACTAGTCACCACCGCCACCGCCACCGCCACCACTAGCCTAATAGTACTAATACTACTACTAGTATTACTAATTGCATGCGATGGATAGATAGTGCAGCCCCAATGAGGGCACAGTGGACACCACTTCATCTACATCTATATATGGTTACGTCGATCCGTCACCCTTGACAATTACTCAGTGGTTTCCGGTGGGCGCAAGAAAAAGAAAACTTACAAATAAGAATTACATGACCAAGAATAATAAAGTAAGGTAAAAAGATTAAAGAATAAAGTAAAGGAGTTGACCCATTTGCTTTTTTTTTGGAAGATTAAAATCACTTAAACATGATTTTAGTAAAATTACAATTCATCCATACAATCATATGTATTATTACAAAATTATAAATCACTTGCTGGTACTGTGCTATAAAGTATAAATAACGCTGATAGGGTCTATGTCTCCCTGGGTACTGCCGGAACGTACCCTGGGTACGGTCCGGTATACTGGAACGTACCCTGGTAACTATCTGATATGGTTACGGTTAGGGTTAGGGTTAGGGTTAGGGAGTAGGTGTAGGCGTAGGCGACTCCCTAGACTTGTTAGTGGAGTAGGCGAGGTAAGGTCCGGCATATTAGATAGGGGTAGTACCAGGAGTCTATCAATATTGATAGACTCCTGATAGTACCAGGGTACGTTCCGGTATAGCGGACCGTACCCAGGGTACGATCCGGCAGTACCCAGGGAGACATAGACCCTGGCAGCATAAATAACAGAAAAAGGAATTAGGACTACACTACGATGATGGCACCATGGATCATTGACATTGGATGTATTATCATGTAAGCAAGATCTGCTGGGTGTGAACATCGAACCCATTCACAATCGAAATGGAGCTTAAAATTCACAATTTGAAAGCAGATATTTACGTTATTTTCACAAACTGTATATTTCACACAATGACCACCATCAAAACTATCTTGTTCAAACAATGTCAAAACAACAACGCCCAAAATTCCAAAACGGGTTGATTTTTCTACAAATTGACTTGCCAAGTAATACTATTAGACACAGTTACCAACATTAAACTCTATACGCAGACTAGACATTATACTTATATATAAACTAGTACATAAATAAAGCAACCCTGGCTACGGCCCGGCTATGTACGGATAAGAGGGTCAGGCAAATTACTAAATTAGGTCACAAATTCTATCGTTTAACATGAACAGTGCCTACCGCCAACGACCACTAGCTTGTACTCTGTCATCTTTACAAGCTCTATCGTTGCAATCGAGTTGATCGTGCCACTTTCTTTCACTATACAACAGTTTGTAGCTCAAATTACATGTTAACTGAATGTTTCCATCAAACATAAACGTGAAAACGAAGAGATCTCTAAGGAGCAATGGGTAGTTGAAACGGGAAATGGCCTCACTCGGATGAGAACCGAAGATAACCGGACATTCCCGATGTCGAAATTCCGGTGTCGTGGGAAGATTTTGCTGCCAAGACGAGAGGCGTGGGAAATTGTGCATTTTCAAGCGTATTTATTTTATGTCACGCAATATTGCGTGAATTTACACCGCACATGCTGTTTTCATTCTATTTCATTTCGGGGCAAGTTAAATAAAGTAGGATTGCGTCGTTTGTCAATGCACAGTTTGCATTATAAGTACATTCTCATCAGTCATATGTAGAATCGGGAGTAAATAATCTCGATTTTTTTTACTCTTGTTAGAATTTAAATTTGTAGTTGAAAATTTCCCCAAAACAATGCATTTTAGGCTTGATGTTATGAATATAGATATGGATAAGCGGTGCTGTGTTTCTCTGAAACGGAGAAAGGCGATGCCAGGCATGCGTGTGTACTGTGCGCGTGCGTGCGCGCGGGCGCGCGTGCACGTGTGCACATAAACGTGCGTGCGTGCGTGCGTGCGAGCGTTAATTTGCAAGTCTATATAACCCTGAGGGTTATTAACTCCTGTCTTTATGCACCGCTCCGACAGTGCGGTTTAATATCAGTAAAGGTGGCCCGGGTAGGAAATCTATGTGTACAGCCCATGCAAAGGCAAATAACTCATTTACATGCATTCAACTGGAGCATATGCGATGAATAAAAACGGAGTAAGATTTTTCCTCTATAATTGTACCCCACATACACGTTTTTTTTTGCGGACAAAGACGTATTTGCACTTGTATGACACCCAGAGCCGTGGGTTTTGATATTACAGTGCTGTCATCAAAGACCGCATATATACGTTCTGATATTATGCGCAAATAAATGATTTCGCCCGTGTAAAATCAGTGTTGTATATGTATAGATATATGTATACAACACTGATCTCTATATATGTTAATATATAGAGATGATCAGTGGTATACAGGCATCAGATTTGCAACCGCTGAATCAAATATGAGATCATCTCGCCATCTATCGGGCGAAATAATTTATTTGCGCATAATATAAGAATGTATATAACCTATGATTCATGTACACATGAGGATGTATGCTTTTATTTAAAGGGTCTTGGGTGAAAAAATAATCAATAAAAAGTTATGAGCTTAGAAAATTTCATATTTATTTTAAATTGAAATTTCACAGGTGTGCAATAATAAACAATAACATACACAGTAAATGTGTAAATACCTGCATATTAATGAGGTTAAAAGCTATGATCGCTGAACTGAACAGACCGCCTAGGTTCCATGTATAAAACTATCTCAGCATTCATGCTATATGACAAATCACTGAAAACGAATTCAACCCCTGAGCAAATACTGCTATATCGTTACTCAACAACGCTGATAGGGTCTATGTCTCCCTGGGTACTGCCGGAACGTAACCTGGGTACGGTCCGTTATACCGGAACGTGCCCTGGTAACTATCTGATATGGTTAGGGTTAGGGTTAGGGTTAGGGAGTAGACGTAGGCGACTCCCTAGACTCGTTAGGGGAGTAGGCGAGGTACGGTCCGGCATATTAGATAGTACCAGGGTACGTTCCGGCAGTACCCTGGGAGACATAGACCCTGGCAGCCTCAACAACCACTGAATAGTAAGTGTATAATAAATACAATGGGGTCGTTCAACCCACAAAGCTATACAAAAGAGCTACAAAGCCACAGAATATATCCCTAACGAAAAAAAGGTGGAATACAATAGATGTGTCATAACTCCGCAGAAGCACCAATACGAATTCCTCTCACACGTACACCGTCCATTTTGAAGAACTGTTATATACCTTGTCTGTCACAGCCACGCGGCTAAAAAGCCTAGCTCACAGATACAAGTTATTTACAAAATTTACACTCCCCTGAATGACGTAATTTTTTTTACCCCTTTTCATAATTCATTCGTGAGCAGAAAAATTCAGACTATTTGATAATTGGCAACAAGCATAAATTCTCTTGCATTATTCAATTTAGAAAATAATACAATCATGAGAATAATTTTTAATAAAAATTAACTCAAACACAGTGACAAATTTATCAATATTCCACCAAGCATATATACTACTACAGCTAAAAGGGTCTATGTCACCCAGTGTACTGCCGGAACGTACCCTGGTACTATCTAATATGCCGGACCGTACCTCGCCTATTCCACTAACGAGTCTAGGGAGTCGCCTACGCCTACTCCCTAACCCTAACCCTAACCATATCAGATAGTTACCAGAGTACGTTCCGGCAATACCCTGGGGGACATAGACCCTATGAGCGTTAGTGGACACCTCTATAAAATAAACTCCTGTCTACAACGGACACTTTTGGCAATTCTCTTGAATGGCAGTTATACAGTTGAACTACCCCAACAGAGAGAGAACCTGTCAACAAAGGACACGTTTATGGGTTTCCTTTAAGTACCACTCACGTACACGTTTGACTGTTTAATATCCAAGTGCACTAGTATGTATGCATGTGTATGCACGCGTACATGTGTACAAGTCCAAATAGACCGAGGATTAGATGACGACTGATGACAGAATTACTCGCCCATGATCAGAACTCAATTATTGTGTTTCACACCAAGCGATATCAATGACAGCCTCAAAGATGTCGTTGAGCTAATGATCACTAATGATCACTAATGAGCATTAATGACACTGAAGCTGCAAGCCTTACGAAGCGTTATAATCACTCCCACGTAAATCAGAAGCAAATTGCAACCACACTGCAACGTGTAATCAGCTCCATAAATAACGAACGCATCCAGAGTATTGGCAGATCACATGCATTGCAACCCCAATGCGATCTATTTCATGCGACTCGGAGGCACGATGTCAGAAACAAAATTAGTCCCAACATTAGTCTTAACATCGACTTTTTCTCGTCGATCATCGTCGTCGTCGAAAACACGGCAAAGCTACGAGTTTCTCGTACGCTGTGAGAGATAGAGATCCGGTCTACGAGGAAAACCCAACGTTAAAACTAATTCTGTTTCCGACGACGGGCCCCCAGCAACACAACAATCACTGACCGCGCACGGAGCGGCGACTAATCGCGCGCGTGCGCGGAGGGGCGACCAATCGCGTAGTGGGCGTTGCGTAAATCTCACATGTAAGTGGACGGCCCCGCGAGGGCGGTGCTGCACATCCTGCAGTCGGCGATGGCGGCGTCGTTGACGTACGTGCACAGCGGACACTCCACGCCGGCGACGCGTCGCCGCGACGACGACAACGCGGCCGCAGCTCCGCAGATCTCGCACCGGCTGAGCGCGGCCGCGTTCAGATACGTGCACCGCTCGCACTCCCACCCCCCGCCATCACCGCCGTCGCCGTCGTCCTCGTCGTCGCGCGGACCCCCGGGCCGGTCGTCGCCGCGACGGCGAGAGCGCGGGTCCGAGGACAAGCGATCCGCGACGGATCCCGCCGCCTCCCAGTCGTCGTCCAATCGGAAGCGCGGTTCGTACGGAGGCAGCATGTTGTCGTAGACACTGACCGGGGGTCGCGGGTCGTCTCTAGCGTCCGCAGCGCGCGACGGCCGCACGACGGGTTCGACGGGGAACGGCGGCGTCACCTTGCGACGCGCCCCGCCCTCACGGGGCCTCACCGCAACGCTGCTCGCAAGAGGGGAAGCATTCCCTGCCCCGCAGCCGGCGCCGGTGCGCATCGCTTGCTTCCCCGCCGCTGTTCGGTCGCCGAGGACGCTCCAGCCGTCGTTCCAATTGTCGTCGCCGCGGCGAGGGCTGGCGTCTCGCAGGTATTCTTCGCCGCGGCGACCGCCGGCATCGTGCTGGTAGCCGTCGCCGCGGCGACCGCCGGCTCCGCGAGGGTAGTCTTCCCCGCGGCGACCGCCAGCATCTCGCTGGAAGTCGTTGCCGTGGTGACCGCTGGCGTCTCGCTGGAAGTCGTTGCCGTGGCGACCGCCGGCATCGCACTCTTGGTCGTCGTCACGGCGACCGCCGGCTCCGCGCGGGTCGTCGTCGCGGCAACCAACAATTCGGGAGTGATCCCTCGCGGCGACCAGCGTCCCTCCGTCCGGCCACGCTGGCGGACGCTCGTCCGACGCTGGCGGAGACTTCGCGACGTGATGCAAGAACATCTCGTCGACGATGCGGCGCCGATGCCGGCCCTCCGCCGAGTCGGCTGCCGTCGGCGGCGCGCGCGCGGCTCGGCCCGCCAGGGGGCGTCGCGGGCAGCTCTGCGTTCGCCGCACGGGATTCGAGCCCGGCATCGGCGGGTAGAGCTCCGGGAAGAATTCGAAGGGATTCGCTTCGACGACGCTCGTGGGGCACCCCGACGAACGCTTGGGACGACTCAGCGTCGACGCGGCGGCGACCCCCGTGCAACCACCAGGAGGCGCCGCGTGCGGGATCGTCATTGACGGAGCGACCGCCGTGCGACCGCCAGAGAGCGCTGCGCCAGACGTCGACGAGGCGGTGCCCGACCGTGTGTCGCGATCGTCCTCGAATTGGGAGCCGCTCGGGCGCAGACGTGGAACGACGTTTTGCAGTAGATACGCGACGCAATCGTTGACGTCCCCAACTTTGTGCGTTCGCATCTGCAGAATCTGTAAGCAGAGGGAGTGATTTCGCGTTACACGAGTATGCCAATACGTACGAAACTTCGATGACGTATCGCGGCTGCTGAAAAAACATATCAAATAGTGAAACTTCGACAAGGTATTACGTCAGCTGATAAAACATATCTAATACAGTAAAAACCCACGTACAAGAACCTGTATTTTTCCAGGTTAGCCTAAAAAGGTTCTTATATAATTGGTGTTTACTGGGAAATTAGGCTATATGGTTCTTAAATAGGTTCTTATTTTCTTAAGAAAAAAATGTGCTTGTGGCTGGTAGAATATTGGTGCGGTCCATTGTTTATACAAAATATTCATATAATTACGTCTAAATGACTGCAATCTAGACAAATACAAACCCTATTCTACGTTCTTATTTCTTTTTATGCCCTTTATACCTAATAGAGGTATATAGACCACCAATAACTTGTTTTAGTTGATTTATGAATTTTAAAGTGTTAACTGAATTTTATCAAATAAGAACCTGTTTCAAATTTTAGGCTACAACAGGTTCTTATGTCAAGGGGGTCTAAATGGAAAATCTTAGCCTAACAGGTTCTTAATCACTGGGTTCTTATACGCGGGTTTTTACTGTATTAATTTCACTCTAATCGACTGAATAGATCACTTCGATAGATGCTCATTGCACATATATATATATACATATTATTGCACAATTATCATTAATCACAGACCTAGCATTAAACTGGGACGAATTGCCAGGAATGCATCTGATGAGACTTAATCAGGATGCTGACTTTAAAATGAAGATAATACCGAAGGAAGACTTCCACGGAAGAGACTACTCTACTAACCTGTTGCAACGTGTAACCGCATTCACACACGCAGTCGGCTATTCGGTCGAGTATCCCACACTCCACCTGCGCCACGAAGGAATCGAACGCCAACAGCAAGAGCTTGTCGATGTCTCGCGTCCGCGCTCGCAAGTAGTAACGCTCGTCGTCGTCACCCCACCTCCTGTATCCCAGCTGCTCAAGAAAGATGCTATACCCAGACAGATTTATCACAATCTTATTCCGAAAACCTCCCGTGTACACCTGAAAGATTAAGAAACGCGGGTGATAACATCAGCTCTTTCAAAGACATTAGTAGCATTTGATAGAATGCCACGTACCATATATTGTTATGAAAGCACAAGCAAATATTTTAAAGAAACAGCCCATTATATCAGTAAAGACACTGATTAGTTAAACTGATAACTGTTTAGTTGGTTTTTTACGGCAAATAACAACTTAGATACCTTTGCGACGAATAATGCGGAAGAGCTAACGAAATCTGCTAATCGAATTCGCAGGAATATAACCAGCTTTTTATAAACAGTCACCAGGGGTTTCGTACCAGGATTTTTCTGAACTCGTGCCTCCATGGGAACCTATACAGGTTTAAGGCGAGCTGCTCGAATGCGGAGAATGCGGTGGCCATTTTGCGGAAGCTGGCGCCGGTGCCCTTTTCGTGAAGTGTGCAAGAAATCATTTCGCCGAAGCTGTGACTGCAGAATTTTATCGCACTGTCGGCCATATCTAGGAATCTACACACGGATAATTCCAGTTCCCTCCTGTTAACATTCTGAAACGACAACGCCATGCAGTTATTAGATGGTCCACACATTCTTTGACGTTGTTATCTTGAATGTTAGTAAATATTCTTGGTCGTTCTTCTCATCTTGAGTAATATTCTGTATTCTCGAATCCGCAAATTGAGATAGCTCAGTACTAACTATCATGACTAGTTCGTGGTTTAAGTCCGGGCAATGCACTACTGTATACTATATTTCATGTGTTGCCAGCTAAGACACTTTACACTTAAGGCTCCAAGAGTAGTATAATCACATTTAGAATAGCAGTCAATTCTACAACAGGTGTCACCTACGCTTAAATAAAAACAAAGAACGGTTGCTAATATGATATGTTTCTCATTTCCACAGAGGCGCGCAACGTTGTGTGGATTAAAGTTATCAGGATATCTAGAAGGCACGCACACTAACGCAGATAAGGTCTATGTCTCCCAGGGTACTGCCGGAATGGGGTACGGACCGCTATACCGGAACGTACCCTGGTAACTATCTGATATGGTTAGGATTAGGGAGTAGGCGTAGGCGACTCCCTAGACTCGTTAGTGGAGTAGGCAAGGTACGGTCCGGCATATTAGATAGTACCAGGGTACGTTCCGGCAGTACCCTGGGAGACATAGACCCTATCAGCCACACTAACCCCCGACGTCGTAGAGTCAGTTTGACTGCTCACAAGCTTCACGTATTCAATGTACAAGTTTCCCTTCAAAGTTACAGCGCCCTCATCTGGATTCATAAGGATTGCCAGGCACGTACTAGACAACAGAGTTGTCCAGTGGGCATCGCCTACCTGGAATAATTAAAACAATAATAAGATATGGTTGCTAAATGTAATTAATCCACATTAAATAAACGCTGTGGCTATATGCCCGGCAGCCGGGCACGGTCTTCGATTTCCTAAATGCCCGGCAGTTCCTAACCCTAACCCTTGTTTACTTGAGATAACGCTGAACATTAAAAACTGCCGGGCATTTAGGAAATCGAAGACCGTGCCCGTCAGCCGTCAGATATATGCCGGCTGCCGGGCATATAGCCACTCTGTTAAATAAAGCCACAGCTTAGACAGTTCACACAAGTGCAAGGGTATCTGCAAGTGACCAAAACGGCTCTTGTTTAGAATCAACTCTTTGAGATTTAACTTTCTTAGGATCTCAAATCAAGGAGCATTGAGTAGGGCGTTACATTACTACTCTTGTGTTGGGTTACATTATTGTATCTAGGGTGACAGCTATCTATCTTAGCATCTAGGTTATAAATCTCCCCCCCCCCCCATCTCAGACGGCTCTGTAATTTGGTCAGACCCGTCTACAGTGATGGCGACGTAAAAAGAACCACTAAGAGCGCCAAAAAAACTCTGCCTGTGACCACCCTCAGTGCCATTCGGCTAAAAGGCCAACTACCTGGAAAAGCTAGGTCACACCCCATGGCTAGCTATAGCCCTGGACGTTTATTCCAAGTTACGGACTGTCCAGAACTAGACTGTCGGAAGTAGAAGTAGAAGAGCATTGTGACAGTGAATGAGTGATTGCACTCCGTGTTGGAAATAAGGACGGCTTGGTGTGATACTCGAGGGACAACTACTACTACTAGTGAATGCAACATAAACTTCTCAACTATGTCACAATGTGTACTGACTACTGTAGGCTGTACTGGAACACACACATGTTCTGATTCATGCACATGGTCATTGCAATTTGCATAGATGTATAGACTATACTATACTCTATAGACGAGTATAGTTATGATAGAGAGACCATCGTTAGCCTTAGCAGTTATGAGGGGAAAAATTATCGCATCCATGTCAATCATTGCGTTTTCATGAACGAAAATTTACTAATGCGAAATTTATGTGATTGAAGTGAAATAGTTAGTCTGAATTAGGTAATAAACGTAAATTACCCAATGACTGCTAATTCACTACTTCACTTCATATACGTCCATATTTGTTTTTATTGCCTATTCATGTGCGTCCGCTTGAATCTATTTAATAACACAACACAAAACTCGTAATTGCAATTAATTGCTGCACAATAATATTATGTCTAGTATTATCTAACACTTTCTATTCAAATATAAGTAATCTATTGTTTCCAACTTATAGATACATGCGTAACTGCGTAACACATGCGCGACGAGAGGTTATCGTGTCGCCACTGGTTAATGTGTTTTTTTGGTCCGTATGTTCATGTATAAATTTAGTGTCATGGATAAATTATACTAGGACATGGTATGTATAAATGATGCCGAGTGCATATAAACTTTAGTTATACGCGGGCAACGTAGCGAGTAAATGCACATTTGGCGTAGGAACGGACTTTCCTGTTGCGTGAAAAACGAGATTGGATGAATGAATTGAATGTGACAGTGGAGGCTGAGCATATCTTGATTTATATCTCAGCATGATTGATTATTGATGATGTGGCTTGTGGTGTTGCAACACTACACCGCCACGAAACACGGTCAATCGATAATACTAACGCAGTGGCTACGCGTCCGGAACAGGTCGCGTAGCCTCCAGGCTACGCATCCGGACATACCGTACACTCACACAGTGGTCGCGCGACTCGCATACACGCATGATTGCGCAACAGGACGCTCAACTGATTGGCGAAAATATACAATACATCAAGAGCGTATAAAGAAGGAGAGCGTACAACGGTAAAATGCTGAAACCATGTTGCAGTATAGTCGAATTAATAAACTTTCCCCGTTTTTATTTTGACGATTCTTTGCAGTATTATTGATCAGCTGTCTTACCTTGTTAATATAAAACAAACTGCATGTCCCTACGATGCCTCTACGCTGAGATAATGAGCGGTGAAAATCTGGTATTTTTGCCGAAAACCGACTCGAGATCAGTGTTTACTACAACTGTCGCTCATAGGGTCTATGTCCCCCAGGCTACTGCCGGAACGTACCCTGGGTACGGTCCGGTATACCGGAACGTACCCTGGTCACTATTTGATATGGTTAGCAGGGTGAAAAACTGAT